GCAGGTGCTGATACGAGACATCTTCCGCAAGAGCAAGCACGACTGGCGCTACACCGACCTCTTCGGGCAGCCCTCCTACTGCTGCGTGTGCGCCCAGCACATCCTCCGCGGCGCCTTCTGCAACTGCTGCGGGCTGCGCGTCAGCGAGGGCTGCCTCAAGAAGGCTGACCGGCGATTCCTCTGCAAGGAAATCGTGCTGAGGAGCAACGGTGGAGCCCCCGGCTCCATGCCGCACCACTGGATCAGGGGCAACGTGCCGCTGTGCAGCTGCTGTGTGATGTGCAAGCAGCAGTGCGGCACGCAGCCCAAGCTCTGCGACTACAGGTACTGCGCGGGACCGGGCGTGGTGCGGGAGAGCACAGGGCCCTGTCGGTAGCGTGGTTTTTTGCAGCAGGGTTATTAGAACATGTTACCCCAAAGGAGAACATGAAGCTGGTAAAAAACAACTTCAAAGAACCTAAAGTTAACACGGGTGCTTGTGGTTGATTTGAGTCAGAGATGGTGGCATTGCATCTCACGTCGTCTAGTTCTCTTAGTGGCTTTACTCTAGCACAATGTGCTCGCTACTGAGTGAGTGCATACTAAAAGCTCTCTACATCCAGCAGAGTTTTCATTTTAGGAGATGACTTTAAGAAAGTTCTGACGCACTGGTGGCTTGTACAGAAGCTAGCCTGAGCAGTTTGGGTGGCACAGCCCCAGAGTGTGTGTGCACCTCTGCAAAACTGGCATCTGCTCAATGTAACGAGAACAGCCAACCACCCCACAGCTCATTTAAATTCACTTTTAAGGATAGTCAAAAAAGCTAATGGGGAGTTTTAAAAGCTGCAGTAATATAATCTGTTGTTAAAGTTTGTGGTAAGAGTGTTAAAACGTTTCAAGGAACAGTTGAATGGGCTCACACTGTCACCAGTAATGCTGCTTGCAAAGCTGTCAGCGTGACACACTGTGGCATCTTATCCCAAAGTAGAGCACTAGCAGCCCAGGTCCTGGGCACAGTCTAAGTGTTGCTTCAGCCTTCTCAAGGGATGTCACCTTTCCAGCATACGTTCTGCCAGCTTTTTCTCTGCTTGTGAGGCACTGTCAGGTGGCTTGGTAAGAGTTACAGCGTTCAGTGAGTGTACTGATGGAAAAACTTTGTGAGACTCCGTGTAGGAGAGGAGGGCAGGAGAGGATTTTGGAGGCAAAGAGAGAAGGAATAAAGAAGAGAAAAAGAAGGAAGTCACAGTACAGGGCAGTTATCATTGCTACTCTAGCTGTGTGCTGGATTAGTCAGAAGGACTCCAAAAATAGCTTTCACAGCTGCTTAAACCAAGGCTTTGGCTGTAGCAAACGAGGATTAACATTCTGCAGAGGCTGGCAGTGGATGTTGCGGTATTTCCTCTGTTCTAGTCCATTTTCTAGGACAGCTTTTAGAACAGGTTAAAAAGCTGAGCAGTTCTGCAGAACAGAATCCCATCAGCCTTGTACAGTACCATGCAACCTTTTAGGTTTCAGATTTAAAGGGGTATTATAGATATTAAGAAATGTATTCATTAACACAGCTAGTAACACTTTAATAAATTGAACTCGAGTGTTTTATCTCTACAAGGATGGACAGGAGTTTAGTTTCTCATACAAGCGTGCAGTATAACTGTTCATATTGCAGGCAATGCAAGAGGTTTGGGAACCTGCTTTGGGAATTAAAAAGAATAGAATTAGATTAAAACTCTTGGGTGTTTTTCCACAGAATTCAAATGCTTTTCTAGACTTGCAAGCATATGACCAAGTTATGTAATTTTCTGTAGCAAATTCTCCTTTAACTTCCAGGGAGTGTGTGGGTTTTTTCTGGAACATGCTTAAAATGTTGCTTATAGTGGTGCATGTAAGCATAAGTGCTTTTCAGAAAGTTAGTCTATCTAAAAATTGAGGTGCCTATTTGAGGATGTTTTTTCATGGGTTTTTTTTTGTCTTTTTTTTCCAGGTGTGTGTGGTGTCAGTATACTGTACATGATGAATGCATGGTGGATCGTTTGAAGACTGAGGAGTGTACATTTGGAGAATTTAGAGACTTAGTTATTCCACCATACTATTTGTCTACAATCAACCAGATGCGTAAAGACAAAAGAACCAATTATGAAAAGGTGATTGTCTATCGCTTCTTGATTTTGTAATATATTAAAAAAAAAATAACCACAAACACATTAAAACTTGAATTCAGTACGTTGTCAGGTTGATAACTATCAGGTAAACATTTCAATATGTATGAAGTACTTGCGGTGTTAATTTGGAGGCATTTGTAGTTTTACTGGCATGGTTGCTGAAGCCTGAGCAGATATTTAGGTTTTGTTGTTCCAAAACAACACTGAGATTTGCATGTCTTCCTTCTGATTTTTCTATTGCTGTGTTCATAACATTGTAGTATTTTGTAGTTCTAGACACTGTAGAAGAGAAATCTTCAACCCTGGTGTGTCAGAAGTATTTGTTTCTGTTTCAATTACTTCAGACTAATGGACAACTTCCTCATTTTGGCACTTAAAGGGGACAGCTTTTGGAACAAGGCTTTAAACGTTTTCAAATGTGCAGTATTTGTGTAACTGACTAACTTCCACCTTTTCACAGGTAGTACCTTACTGCAGAAAACACTGGATGCCTGTAATCATACTGGCTAATACTCGTAGTGGAAACAACATGGGTGAAACTTTACTAGGAGAATTTAAAATTCTGCTGA